AATTCGTTTCTCCAATTGTTCATTCCTACTCTGCTCTGAACACTGGCGCTGATACAAATACACGTACTCTAGTGAGGTCTCAGTTACTGACAATGATGTAATGCCTAGATCAGTGGTACACTGTTAAACCCACTATTTGGGGTAAGGGGGAGTGGGGAGCCTTAATTTATAGTATCTATCAATTTCTGTGGTGTAAATACTCCCACCATGACTGATTTCAATCTACCAATGACTCACTCATAATGATGTAGCTCACAAAATCCCTAAGTCTAGTAATCCCCTCCCCACCCCAACCCCACTCTGGGGGGGAATCTTCCAAGATCTCCAGTGAATGCCTGAAGTCACGCAGAGTACTGAACTTATGTACACTGTTTTTCCTGTACATTCATATCTATAATAAAATATAATTTATAAATTTGGCATAGTAAGAGATTAACAATGATCACTAATAAAAAGAACAACTATAACAATATACTATAATAAAATAGGTGTGAATATGGTCTCTCTCAAAATGCCTCATTGTACTGTACCCACCTTCTTGTGATGATGTGAGATGAGAAAATGTCTAGGGGATGAGACGAAGGGAGGGGAATGGCACAGGCATCGTGCTGTAGCTTTCTCCTACCACTGACCTTCCGACACTACATCAGAAGGAGGATCGTGCGCTTCCAAATCAGAGTTGACCTCCATGATTGAGATCACGAAAGCCAGGCTGGGGATATGGGGGAAATGACCATATTTAACAAGTGGCTTTCAGTAGCCCTTGGCACACCAGATCCTCCAACCCCTTAATTTTTTCATTCTTGCCATCTTTTTAGTCACTTCGTTGTTTATTAGCATCCTCACTGTCTGATGAGCAAGGAAAATGAACGAATATAGAAGCAGCTGATTTTTCTCTCAGTGGTTCTAGCACAGAAGAGTGAATGGAGAGGAAGTTAAAACTATCAGCTAGATGTATTTATGGGTTTTTCTCATCCCCAGTCTCTCTGCCCCTTATCGCTGCAGATAATTGAAAGCAGATGCCCTCATCAAATGTGCAAAAAACAAACACACTTTCTGACCAAATATAGACTTGATGGCCACAACCTGGAAATAGAAATGAGGAGGAAGAAGCTCTGTTGGAAATCTAAGAAGGGTCAAGTTCATCAAGATGGCAGAGGGGATGTTAAAATGGGAAATCAAACAACTTCTCTGGGTAGAAATAATATGGAAAATGTTTTTCTGAATGTTACAGATCACAGCAGTTCTCTGGACCAGAATCTAAACAGGAAAAAGCATCCCAAACCAAGCAAAGGGCAAACCATTTAGGAAATTATAAATTTTTATCTTAACTTGGTTGGAAACTGGGGAGACACTGAAAAATTTTATGAAGTTCTGTAATGAAGTCTTCTCTCTCACTGTCTCCACCATAGGAAAGGGGCTAAGCCTTGGGTGGTTACTGATGCTTAGACAGAAGAGGAAGGCAGCTAGCAATATTTCTTTCCCTCTCACTAGGACTCTGGTTTGCCTTCCCCTTCTCTCTGTTTCTAACAGAGGCAGTACCACTGAGTAGTATTTCACAAAATGCGCTCCTGATCTCCAGGGCAAGTCAGAGTTCCTGTAAGGAATTAGTTCAGAGTATGAGTTGTCTATCAAAGCAGTTGTATTTTTACGGCTCAGTAAATGTTTACTGACATGAATCCCATTCTCTGTGACAACACTAGTCAGACCCAGCCTCTCTTGTTGACAGAGCTGCTGAAGGGGTGGACAGGAATATCCAGCTTTGCCCCATGATTTCAGCTTACTTTCTGTCCAGGCATTTGGGACTACAGGACTTTGAGAGGTTACCATATCAACAGCTGTTACTTTACTTTAGTAATAAAGTTAAGTAACCTGAACTCAAGCCACACAGAAGAAAAATTAGAAAAATCAAAAATATGTGAAGATGAGAAGTCAAGAAAAATATGCCTACACGGGAGGAGTGAAAAGTATCACAGGGTCATTCTTATCTGTAGACAATGAAGTGCAACTTAACAGTAAAGACTGAGCCTCCATAAAAAATGAAAAATATAGCACATAGCAAAGTGTGGCATTTGTGACTGGCTACTTGTTTCAAAATCCAAAAGGAATCAAAGAGACAGAAAAGATTAAATCTTCAAGTATTCTAAGTCACTCAATTACTCACTTCAAGGAGAATATAATCACTGTCTTTCACTGAGGTATAGTACGGCCAGCAGGGCTGTGTCAGATGAGCTGAAAGGGCAATGCTATGATACAAAAGGGAGAAATTAAGACAGGAATGAACTGCGCCATTATGTCCATGAGTGGGCAAAGGAAAGAATGGACTTCACTGATGAGGACAGGAGGGTGGACAGTCACCAGAGCATGTGTGTGAGTCACATCTGGCAGAGGCAGAAATGACATCATAAAACAGCATGGATGGTAGGTTTTAGATGTTAAAACAGCAAATACACTAGAAAAGTTGACGAGTTGAAATTAATGCAAAACTCCAATGTGGATCAAGACAATGAAAACCAGCAGAAGCTGCTCTTCCCTGTGGGTGGAAGGAGCCAAGAACTGGGATCACCCCACAAAGTATTCCAAAGGCTTGCTGCCTAAATTTCAGAGAAAGAAAAAAGCGATGTTCAAAGAACTGTAGGGCTTACAGGGCAGCAAAGAAAAGCACTGGGTAGCAGGGTGCAGCTTTTACAAACACTAAACCAGAGATGAAAATATTTGTATTCAAATACTAGCCCCGCCATTGATTAGCTGGGTCGGGTGGTTTACATGTGCACATTCACGAGTCTCCTCGCCCCCAAGGTCCGAAAGCCTTCTTCAGTAAAACAAACAAAAAATTCATAACCCGAAAAGTGGTTTCAAGCTTTAAAATTCTAGGAAGTTAAAAATTGGGAGAGGTTGCAGGCTTCCTAGTAAACAAGAGGCCTAGAGTGAATGACAACTATTTTTTGCTCCAAAGGCTAGAAACAACCTCTGGGAGACAAGAAGGGCCTCAGCCCAGCTGTTAGACGCCACCACAGCCACTCAACCCCTCTGCCGACACCCGAGAAGGGCAGAGCCTGGTCTCGGGACATTCCATCCCAGGGATTATTTGATGACGTCTCTGTCTCCTACCCTCCTACCAGGGTACAATTTTCTAAAAGCAGAGAAAATCCTTCCCAAGAAAATAAACAGTGCAAACAACTGTCCCATTCTGTTACCTATTTGGATTACATAATGACTATGAAGTTAACACTTTCATACTAACATGCCTAAGCGGAACTCTCAGCTATAAGCTGAACTGCCTTTTCTCCACCATCCAAAGCCCTAAAAAATCCATGTCCCTAAAAAGCTGTCTCTAGTGCCCACTGTGAAGGAACGAAAACCTCCACTGCCTCAACTTTGCTCAGAACGGAAACGCAAATCAAAGTATGTAGAGTCTGTGGAGATCTATAACTTGTATACTGTTCTTCAAGGATAACAGTAATAATATATCTTTACTAACCCAAACTGCTCTGCCGAGGGAGAGAACACTGGCTATTTTTTCTGGCTCCCCTGAAGACCATTTAGCCAAGCATACATCTTATCTTTTTTGTTTGACCACCAATAATTGGTAACTGGCATCATTTACCAGCCACCAAGTAAAACAGTTAACCCTCTCCTCACCTACCCCCACACCAGGAAAACAAACCAGTGGGCAATGCTGGCTGGAATCCCCCAGAGCACAACACTAATTAAGGTGCCTCTATTTTTCTGGCTGAGGCCGCAGTAAAAAGGGTGAGGGTTCCTTTTATAGCCTGCCCTAACTTGTTTGTCTGGATCAATGTAGAAATAGCAGCAATTTGCTCTCTGTAATCCCTCTCCAGGAATAAAATGCGCTAGGATATTCCTGGAATGCCTCCTCACTCACAAATCAGAGGGCATACCTCCTGTGATCATCGTACTTTGCTCTTTCCCTCAGTGTGAAGACTAAATAAGATAATGCATGTAAACTGCTCAGCAAGAACAGAACATAGCACATAATAAGCTCAATAAAGAAATGATGCTAATATCTGTAAAAAAACAAAAAACAAAAAAAAAATCGAACATGCTTATCAATTTACTTCAAGGGGAAACCTTGAAGAAATCCCCTAAGGCCCCTCGGCACTGATCATGTGGAGGTTCTGCTGGAAAAGTCAAACACTCCACAGAAAACAACTGGTGTCAGTGATGGGAAAAGGATGAATAAAGCACAGAATCTGAACATCCTAACAAAAAGGTTATCTCCCCATCACAGATCAGATCCCAAAATGACAGCTCTTCTTTAAATGTTAGGGTACAGAAAAATTCTTCTGGAGGCACACCTAGCAATCTTTTGTGTTTGGCTCTGCTGTTTGGGCATGCATCATTATGTTTTTCCTTCCAGGCAAAAAACAATTTTTCAAGAGCTTCATGAAAATATCCATGTGATTTTCATCTGATAAACAGGCTTTACTGTAACTTATAATTGAATTTTCTAATTCACTCAGTGCACACACAAAATACACTATGTTCACTTTCCCAGTGACACACCCACAGTATGTAGCTATGCAGGATATTTATTTTTTTAAAGGTGGCAAAAGGAATAATGTCTGGAACTCCAAGATGGTGCATTTGCAACAGACATGAGACTGTGTGGCAAAAAATAAGCGGCCACAAAACCTTTAATTTTTATTTTGTATTATGCCTACTCAACTTGTAAACGGCTAGGGTATGTCACAATTTTCGTAGTTCCTAAACCATGGTTTTGGAAGTACAAAGGGCATTAGTGTTATACCTATTCAGCTTGTAAAAGACCTGGCCACTTGGCAATTCTTGTACTTTCTAAACCATGCTTTCCAAAATGCAACGGACAAAACTGGCCCATAACTTTAGAGAAGGGTTAAGTAATGTTTCAACTCTTGCTGAGTACTTGGCTTATTTCACTTGCCGTAAGTTTTTATGGCAACCATCTATTACCATGGGAGTGTATGTTCTCTACAGTTCAAAGTAATAAGTGCAACTTGTAAAAGTCAAGTTTTTTTATTTAATACATTCTAATCGAATAGTAACAGCAGTAAATAAACACTTTGAAAAACAGGCAGGTATCCCCCTATATCTGGAAGAAATTAAGTCAAAGTATTCTACATGGTAGAAGGGAGACAACTGCTGATGTCCAGGGTTAGACAATTTAAGGACAACTTGAAAATTTCTAAAGCCATTTCCCAAAAAAGTCAATGGCAACAGGGTGGGACACAGCTACTTCAAAGGGTAAAATATCTCTATCTACATGGTTTTATTAACAGGGATTGAGTTGCACCTGTATAGCATGACATTCTTGTCTTTAGCCTTAAAGGACAAGACAAAAGTCATTTTCATTTGCACCAGTTTGAATATATCTGAAATAAGGCTTCCTTAAAATGGATTACTACAGTACTCATTCACATGAGAGAGTTCATACATGTAGTAAAAAGTCAAATACAGGATTTCATGGTCACTTTTTTTGGTTGATTTGGTTAATTGCATAAAATGAAGGATAACTACGCGCAAGCATAGCTGTTTAATAAAACTCCTGGGACCATCAGAATGCGAAATACCAAATGTCTTAAATAGGTTCCTATCACCAGGCATATAAGACTGAAGTTAAGCCTGTGTTAGTCTGGTTCCTTCCACTTTGTCAGGACTCCTGCGTAGGGTTCTTTCTCTACTACCAGCAGTTGCACCTTTGACCTATTAGAAAGGAACCTCAAAAGGCAAAGCATTCTGACAAAATGTCCCTGCAGCCTTTATTTGGGACGTTTTCTTTTTAACTTAAAACAATCAACGGATCTTGGTCTGCCTTGGGAAGGGAAGCATCACTCAGGTGAAAATATCTGGGGCAACTTTAAATACCTAGCTACCTTGTCACACGCTTAAATTAGATTGACTTCAGCTGTTCTTAGAATTCCACGTGGTTATCCAGAGCAGTCACTCAAGTTTTGGTTTTCTTTTACATAGCTGCATTCGGAGATAACTCTATATGAGGCATGTTTAGAAAAAGAGAAACACTTATACCTGGAATTTATATTCTTCCAAGTAATCTTTGAGTCTCGTTGGTAAAGGCAGTCCCCAGATGGTACCGGTACATTTGTTAATGGTGAGTCTACAGAGATGCTGCAGGGCTGGTGCCGACGTGTAGAGAGGTTTGGTCAGATAAAGGTGAACAGTGCCATTCCGGGGGGCTTCTGGGCCCGTCCGCTTATCCTTGCACATCTGAACATAGTAGTCGATCAGATGAACCACACTGTCAAACTGCTTAAGCTTGGACTTGACACATATGATAGAGTCCAATCTGAATTTCCCATCCTGGTATTCGATTCGCAGATTAGTTGGTCCAGCTGATGTTTTAACAGATATTGTCAGTAGGTAGTCTGAATGCGAACTATCTCTAATCAAGAAAGTTCCTTCTGGTGCCTCTTTTAATTTCTCTTTGGCTTCATTAACAGTCATACTTCCCCAGTACCAACCTGGGGTTTTTGTTCAAAAAGAAAAAGAAGAGGGTAAAATAAGTTATTATAAGGAATTTTTTAAAAAATAGGGCAAGTACTTGTCAACCAATTTTCTAGCTCTAAGGAGAAATGCGGGAGTGAAAGTTGACCAAAGGCTACCATAAATACTTTCGGTAGAGATTTAATGAAAATGTGGATCCATTTTATGAACACAGACTATGAGCCAGTTCTCTTGTTTAACAGGTAACTTTCTGTAGCTGTTCTTTAAATTGTCTTAAGATTTTCTCCTAACAAAAGAATATTTGCTATATGACACACTGGCTGACAAGGGCATCATGCTTCCAGCACTATTTGAGTGAAATCAGAGATTTGAAGTAAATGAGAAATACATCAGAAGTTAGAAATAAAAGCCATGCCCTTTAAAAAGTGGAAAACCCAACTCCAGTAATTCCAATAGAGTAAAAACAGAGGCAACTTTTTGGGTGGCTGGGGACCACCCTCCTCCTACCCAAATATGTTACTGGCTGCATCGCTGTTCAAACCCCTGGAAGGCACAGTTTTCACTTGTTTTTACAGTGCCATTCTAGTACAACAGCTTCCCTTTGCTGCCTCGCTTCCACTACCTTATCAGTCATTGAGAAACGAAGGAAGCCCCAATCGATCACTAGTATTTCACATGTACAATCTTCAGGTCTTCTGGACTTTGCCTTAATCCAAATCCAATCACAACCGGCGGTCTCCCCAGCATTCTCGATTTGTTCTGCCTGCACTGTCTGCCCAGTCATACCGTTTTCAAAAACGATTGAGACATTCTGCATTTAAGAACTTTGAACAACATGCTCCCTCACCCCACAGAACAAATGGCTCCGATACCTGCCATCTGCCGGTCCCTTCTGCTGAGGGCAAGCCCGTTGCCGCACGGAACGACCGGATCCGCAAGGGAGGGGACTTTTTTTTCCCCTCCCAGTGATACCAAAACTTCAACTTTGCCCCAAACATCGCAAGCTTTCAGGATCCAGATTTTGAACGATTTGCATGGTTTGCCAGATTTTTTTCGATCTTTCCTTCATTCAGATGCCGAAAGAAGATAGCGAGCCGCGAAAAGACAAGCAACACCCGGGGCGCGTCGCCCCTGAAGGCCGTGCTCGGCGGGGACTTTGCTGTGCGCGCTCCTGCCGGCCCGGCTGCAGCCGCCTGCGCGGCAATCTGTCCGTCCCTGGACTTGGCCGCCAAGATCGCCGGCTGTAGCAGCCGCTCCGGCCCAGGAGCCGGATGCAGCTGGGGCCGCCGGCCGCGCAGCGCCCACTCGCCACCCTAGCACCCAAAGCAAGGGAGGCGCCAAGCACTTTCTCCGGCTAGGGTTCAGGCCCAAGTGCCGACCCCCTGGGCAGCCGCGGAAAATAGTAAAGGTTCCAGCGCCCTAAGAGACTATTTCCAAGGATCCCTTCTCGCGTTCCGCCCTCTCCTAGGCCTCTTGAGTCCCTCGAGAACCACTTTCCTTTCGAATTCCCAAGGATCCAGGGTCGTGCGGGGCATCCTCTCCGCGGTCCTCCGCCCCAAGGTGGGTACGGGAAGCCGGGGGACGCATTTCCACCCTATTTTAGCTTCCCACAGCGGCCCCTCTCCCCAGCGGCGCTCCCTCCCGCCACAGCCCCCGGCCGCGCCTTCGGGGAGGGGCCCCTCTCGCACGCGCCGCGGCGGGTCTGCTCCCTACCTGTTTGACTGAGCTCCCGCAGGGCCTTCGCCAGACGCGCCGCCTCCGGCGACGGCTCCTCCGCGGACCCCGCGGTCCCCCACTGGCTTCGCGTCCCTTCCGCGCCATTCCCGGAGGGCTCGAGGCACCGCAGGGTCATGGGAGAAGGGTCACCGGGCAAAGACAGGTGTCCGCCCGAGCTGGGGTCAGAGAGGGGCACGAGTCCTTCCTGGAAGTCAGTGGGAACCCCAAAACAAGTCCCTGCGGGGTATCCGAAATAGTGGTGGAGGGGGAGGGGCTGGGCAGCTGCCGGTGGTTCTTCCCCAGGTCCGGGTGGACACACGGCTAATTCCCCCGCAGGCGCGGTAGCCCACAGTTTGCCTGCAAAGAGAAAGTGTGGGGGTGGGTCAGTCGGAACCGGACCCCTGCGGCTAGGGTTTTGGGTGGGGTGAGAGAGATGTGGAAAATCCCGGGGACTCCTCCGCGTCTATGCTCCTGCACCATTTAACCCCAAGCATCCAGTTACTGCCCTGGCCCAGCCCTAGATAAAGGAGAAAAAAGAGAGAGCACGGATTCAAGACGCCAGAAGCGGCAACGGGGAGGGTGCGAGGGGGAGGGGAGGCAGCATGAGGGTGGGGAGCAGGGTGTCTTCCCGCCCAGGCTGCTCGCTGAAATCGCAGGCTAGAAAGGTCACCTGCAGGTACGGCGATAAACAGGCCCCAGTCAAGGTCAAGTAGAAAATCCTTTCAAAGGAAAGAACAGGAGATTTCCCCAACTTGGAGCTCCTCTCTCACTCCGCACAGCGGGGGGTCCCGGGCGCCGAGCTGCCACATCCCGGGCCGAGGGTGCCTCGCTCCCCCCACCTCCCCGCTACCGTGTGGGACAGGGGTGGGGGGTGCTGCCCGGCGCAGCCCGGCCGCTCTCCCGGCCAGACGGCCGTTGCGGCTAGTGCCGCCGCCGGCGCTGTCGAGGAATCGGCCCGAGCGCGCAGCCCTCGCGGGGCTTCGGCACCGGAGCCGTGGCCGGGGCCGAGCTGCGGCAGCTAACGCCGTGGGAAGTGTAAGACGACGATCGCCGAGTCCTTACCTCGGCCTCGGCCGCCGCCTCCGCACCAAGCAGCCTCCCCAGCGGACGTGGGGCGGGGGAGCCGGGAGGGGCCCGGGAGGGGAGGGGTGTCTGCCCTTGTTTCCCGTTGACTTTTAATTCGGGAAACGAGATGCCCGGGGATGAAATGAGCGCTGCGCTCAGCGGCGGCTGGAGTTCTCTGCTCAAAGGGCTAACAAAAGCCCCCGGTAACGTCGCCCAGACACCGCCCCCAACCCCGGGCGGCTGCGGCAAACGAGATGGAAAGGAGATGAGAAGGACGGAGCCGAGGCAGGAGGCAGGAGGGTGGGGAGGAGCAGGAGATCAGGTTCTTAGAAGGATTTGATTTAGATGGCAGTTTTTTTTTGGGGGGGGGTGGAACCCCGGAGACTGCCCGACTCCGAGAGGGAACCGGAAAAAGCCGGCAGTAGCGCCCGGCCTCTGGGTAGAGCAGCGGCTCGGACCTCTTAACCCGCGGCTCTGAACTGCGGAAGCCAAGGCCGCCCCGCGCTTGCGGCCGCGCCCCGGTGCCCTCGGCGGCGACCCTCCTCGGGGCGGAGCCTGCGGGCTCCCTAGACCGGTACCTGCTGCCTGCCGCCGCCCGATCTCCTCCGACGCCCCAGCGGCGGGCGCAAGCGATCCGGACGCTTTGTGTCCAGGGTCCCAGCGCGCACTGTCCGTGGCCCGCGCAGCGGTGGCGGCAGGCGAGGAGGCTCATGCTTCACGGGAAGCCCAAGGCCCGCGAGCCGCGGCGGCGGCGGCGAGACATGGTAAGAGTTAAACGTCTGTCCCCGAAGCGGGCTGTGCGCGCGACTTCCCAGCCCGACACGCCTCCCTCGCTCCCCGCCTCCTTCCCGGGTCCGCGCTCCCCTAGCGCCCCGCCCGGCTGCTGTGGAGGCCGCTTTCCAGGAACTTTCCAGGAATCCGCCTCACGTGACCGCGGCCCCCGCTTCTGCTTTAAAGAGACTAGCGCGCTAAAGCGCAGACTTCAGGGGAGGCGGGCTCAGAGCGCTCGGGTGCGGGGCTGGGCGGGGTGGCCGCCGGGGAGCCCGCCTTCCTCGGACCGCGCAGCCCGGAGCGCAGGAGAAGCCCGCTGTGCGCCGGGGTCGAGCGAATAACACATCCTCGCCCCTCGGCCGGCGCGGGGGGTGTCTTTCCATCCCCCCTGCGCCTTCTCGACGCGACCCCCCTTTCGTGAGCTGGGCACAGTGGACAATGGAGGTCCTCGGAACGGCTCCTCCCGCTCGAAGACACATTATGGGCTGGGGGAGGCCCCTTTCCAGCCCCGGTGCCAACGCCCAAGAACCTGAGAAAACGGGCCGGAGGCGGGCCCCTCGGCCCAGGTCCTGGAAGGCAGGCAGCGGCAAGCGAGGGGCGCCTGCTGAAGGGCACGAGCCGCTCAGTCCCCTCCCCCGGGGGACCCTGCCCGCGGTCTTCCTCACCTCCCCACCGGGCTCCTCCTCTCGCCTCCAGCCTCCTTCCCACCGCGCGGCGGCCCACCCGACTCACCTGCGCTGACTGCGGCGGGGGCGCCCTCACCGGCGCGTCCGACTGGGGCTGGGCGCGGGCCTCAGTGTCTGCAGTCTGGAGAGCGCTGGTCTCTGCGATTTCCCGCAGGACTGGCTCCCAGGGAACGAGAATTCGGAAAGATCCCGTCACTTCTTCCCTGCCTGGGGACCCTCACCTCCTTCCACCCGGTTGGAAGCCACCTGACCCCAATTGTAAATCATCTTGCCTACACAACACGCCTCCCCGAAATGTGACCTACTTTTGAAAAACATTAATACGGAAAACCCGGATCAAAAACTTCGATAACCATTTTTCTTTGAAATACTATTCTATTGCATCACTGCTCAAAAGCTTGAAAGGTCAATGGCCACTTTTAGTTGAAGCTGCGGCTATGGGGAAGTTGGAGGAGTGGGGGAGGTGCGGCTCATAAACCTTGCTTGGTGCTCCCCCTGCTGGCTCTGGGAGGAAGCGTAAACCAGCTCCCCGCCCTCTGGGGGGCCGGAAGTCAGGCCGAATTTTCTTTTTTTTTCAGTAATTTTCCTTTTGAGTAAATAGCTAGGAAAATGAAAGCCAGATAAGCCGGGATGGGGACGACGGGGTGGGGGTGGGGGTCATATCCCGGCTAACAAAGGGCTTTGTGGACAACGTAGTTGTACACGGAATTATGTTTTGTTTTTTAGCGTCTTTGATGTGGGAGGCAGAGCTATTTGAACCCTAGTTGAAAACCCTCTATAAAGTAGCTGAGTAATTTTACACAAGTCACATACCATCTTCGGATCCTCAGCCTTTTCTATAAAGTTGAGGGATTGGACTCCAGCCCTGGGTGAGGGACTGAGATGAAAGAACACATCAAATTCCATGTACAGCTTGTATGTAGTCTGAACCACTACATCTACTAGGGTTTCACTATGTTCTAAGTTATTCTATATGGCTTTGCCTTCGTTGGTAGAGAATTCCAGAGAAAGGGTGTACCCACTATTGTGTAGTTTAAATTAAAAAGAAATTTTTTTCAAATTTTACAAAGATAACCAATTTCAGTTTGTCAGTTGAAACGAATCTGCCAGCGACCCCTCTTCATGTGGTTTCCTGTTACCTCCTAACACATGCTGTTCCCTCATTTATACATGCTGTTCCTCCTTCTTGAAAGGCCCTTCCCCAGATTGGGTGTATGATCAGCTATCATTGTTCAGGTCCCAGCTCAAAGTCACCTCCAAAGAGAGTCACTGTCCACAGATTACAGTAAGCACAATGCTAGCTGTAAGAACACCAAACTTTGTTATCAAAAGTAGAATTTTCAACTTTTGTTTCTGAAATGTTTCTCAGCAATGCCCTGCATTTTGTTGGCCATTACTTTAGCCCCAGGAAACAGATATGGGAGCCTCTTAAGAAGATATTGACCCCGAATAGCCAAAGCAATCCTGAGAAGGAAGAATAAAGCAGGGGGGGATCTCACTTCCCACCTTCAAGCTCTACTACAAAGCCACACTAATCAAGACAATTTGGTACTGGCACAAGAACAGACCCATAGACCGGTAGAATAGAATAGAGAGTCCAGATATTAACCCAAGCATACATGGTCAATTAGTATACAATAAAGGAGCCATAGACATACAATGGGGAAATGACAGCCTCTTAAACAGCTGGTGTTGGCAAAACTGGACAGCTACATGTAAGAGAATGAAACTGGATTACTATCTAACTCCATACACAAAACTAAACTCAAAATGGTTCTAAGACCTGAATGTAAGTCATGAAACTATAAAACTCTTAGAAGAAAACATAGGCAAAATTCTCTTGAATATAAACATGAATTACTTCATGTTTATATTCAAGAACATATCTCCACAGGCAAGGGAAACAAAAGTAAAAATGAACAAGTGGGTGTATATCAAACTAAAAAGCTTCTGTACAGCAAAGGACACCATTAGTAGAACAAAAAGGCATCCTACAGTATGGGAGAATATATTCATAAATGACATATCCAATAAGGGGTCGACATCCAAAATATACAAAGAGCTCACACGCCTCAACAAACAAAAAGCAAATAATCCAGTTAAAAAATAGGCAGAGGATCTGAACAGACACTTCTCCAAGGAAGAAATTCAGATGGCCAACAGGCACATGAAAAGATGCTCCACATGGCTAATCATTGAGAAATGCAAATTAAAACCACAATGAGATATCACCTCACACTAGTTAGGATGGCCAACATCCAAAAGACAAACAATAACAAATGTTGGCAAGGATGTGGAGAAAGGTGAACCCTCCTACACTGCTGTAGGGAATGTAAATTAGTTCAACCATTGTGGAAAGCAGTATGGAGGCTCCTCATAAAACTAAAAATAGAAATACCATTTGACCCAGGAATTCCACTCCTAGGAATTTACCCTAAGAATGCAGGAGCCCAGTTTCAAAAAGACATATGCACCCTGGTTATCGCAGCACTATTTACAATAGCCAAGAAATGGAAGCGACCTAAGTGTCCATCAGTAGATGGATGGATAAAGAAGATGTGGTACATATACACAATGGAATATTATTCAGCCATAAGAAGAAAACACATCCTACCATTTGCAACAAAGTGGATGGAGCTAGAGGGCATTATGCTCAGTGAAAAAAGCCAGGCAGAGAAAGACAAGTATCAAATGATTTCACTTATCTGTGAAGTATAAGAAGAAAGAAAAAACTGAAGGAACAAAAGAGCAGCAGACTCACAGAACCCAAGAATGGACTAACAGTTACCAAAGGGAAAGGGACTGGGGAGGATGGGTGGGAAGGGAGGGATAAGGGGGAAAAAGGGGCATTACAATTAGCACACATAATGTGAGGTGGAGGCATGGGAAAGGCAGTATACCACAGAGAAGACAAGTAGTGCTTCTATAGCATCTTACTACGCTGATGGACAGTGACTGTAATGGGGTATGTGGTGGGGGCTTGATAATAGGGGGAATCTAGTAACCACAATGTTGCTCATGTAATTATATATTAAGGATACCAAAATAAAAAATTAATTAATTTAAAAAAAGATATGGGACCATGTTAAGTAAAAAAAAGTAAAATATGGAATTGTATCTACACTATGATTACAGCATTATAAAATTATGTGTGCATGTGGGTAAAACCAGAAGGGAATGTGGAGAAATGCAAGCAGCTGCTTTTAGGGTGGCAGCATATGGGTGAATTTTTTAATTTTACATTAATACAGTTCCAGTATTTTTTATTCAATCATCATTTTCCCAAAATTCCATGGGGTCAGTGTATTTAATCACTCTTAAGGAGTATAGTTTGTGGGGCTTATAACACCAGTCCTGATGGACCCTTCTCCTGAACTCTAGACCTGTCACTCGTCTTACAGATGTCTAATATGTTTAAGATATTCCAATCTACCTTATATTTTATTTATTAAGACCTGATAACCCCTTAAAACAACCCATCTCTTAAAAAAAGAAAAATCCATTCCTCCTCTACCCTTCCCTATC